ATAGAAGACGTGCCGGAGCAACGTCTTGAGGCAACATCCAGCAGTGGCCTTCCCCGATGATGGTGGCCGACGGTGAGAATTGACAGAAAACAACCGAAGAAAATTAATTCTCAAGTGTTTTCTGTCCAATGTCTCTCACGTGTTTCTTGTTGTTCTTCCCCAAAGATGGTGGCCGACAGCGCGAAACCAAACCATCCCAAGAAAAAAAATCAATTTCAAATCTGCGGTGAGTCCAAGCAATGGTGAAATACACCTCAGAAAATCAATTCTCAGGAAGCTCCGTTCCTCTGTTGGTGACGGTGGAGAGCTCAAGAAGAAGTTCAGCATATGTCCAATGCGATACTAGATCGCTACCTTGATTCCATTTCTTCTTCATCACCAAGTACGGTGAGAATGGAGAGGCACCGTCCGGTAGCAAGAGCAGATCCAAACAATGGCGAAAACAGCCGGGAAATCAATTCCGGGAAGGTTTCGGTCCACTGTTGGTGAAGATGGCGAGCCAAGCAAAGGTAGAAACAAGCCCGAAAAATCAATTTCCAGGTGTTTCTTGTCCAATGCCTCCATTCTTGATTTCTTTGTCTTCCTCCCTTCTAATGAAAGCTGCAAAAAAATTAAATACATACATATGGGGCAAAAATTAATGTTCAAAAATTACCTGAAGGCTGTTATGCTACTCTCGGACGATTGAGGATGCAAAGCAACTAACATGGAGTAACTATTTATAGTTGTGGAATGCCAGGGATAGGGATGAATTTGAGTGTATATGTGGTTCAAAATTTGTTTTCATTCAAGTCCTGTTGTGATTTTGTGGTTAATGTTATGACTAGAGTCCCATGCTGATGAAATTGCGAATATAGTGGGACGAATAATATCACTCCAGAAGTCCATGTAGACGCTTAGTTGAATGGAGATTAGCCAAAGTTGATGAAAATCCAATTCGCAAAAAAAAAAAAAAAAAAGTTAAGTACATGTGCCCATCTGCATATTCAGTGTACATGTGCTGAAGTTCAATTTCTTTCAAAAATTCTGGAAGGAGATTAACTTGGTTAAAATTAAGGAAAAAAAAAAAGAAATGGGCCGTTGGATACACTTATACTTTGAATATGGATTTTGTTGGGCTGCTATCAAATTTGTATCGTGGGCTACTACAAAATTGGGCTTCTACATGTAATATTGACACTTGTGGTTAAAATGACATTTATTGGGTTGCGATCTACAAAGACTCTTGACTACTACGGTTAATTTCGAGACTACCTTCCCTTTGCATTTAAGGCACGTCAAGCAAGTCTCGAAGGGGCAATTTGTAAGCATTGAAAATTTAAATAATATTATTGGACCGTGGTGGATATTTAATTACTAAAGTAATTACTTTGATTGGGCTAATTGGACTAATATTTATTTAATTGGGTTAATTAAATGGCCCATTGAATAATTAATTAGTTTAATTACTTAATTAAATGTAATTGGATGTTGGATTGTTCGGCCCGAGATGATGAAATATTTAATCGAGCTGGACCAGGCTGCTTGTATGAATTGGGTTGCCTAATTAGCGGGCTTGACTTGGTCTTGACCCACTAAAATTATATGTGGATTATATAATTTTGAGGAATTTGGATATTTGATATTATTTGGAAATTTAATGAAATCATGAACCTGGACGCAATGGTGTCTCGATACGTTCCTTAATTTAATTAGGAATTAAGAGTTGGTTGGAGATTTTCCCTCACACTCATCACTATAAATAGTGGTTTCATTTTCAAGAATGGGAGCTCTGGAAATCTGCATACTGAAGCTCTGCCGAAGTCTCGCCAGGATATCGTCTGGAACACGCCCGCAGTTGTACTGCGTATACCGCGCTGAGGAACACGCCACTTGAACACCGGAAGCCCTTCTTTGAAGATCAAGCTGCATATTAGCCCTTCATTGAGGAATAAGCTACCAACTCCGGAGGCCCTTCAGCAAGGAACTACTCCAGTTCGGCATACTCCCGAACTCGGCATACTTCCAGTTCGGCATACTCCCGAACTCGGCATACTTCCAGTTCGGCCATACTCCCGAACTTGACACACTTCCAGTTCAGCATACACTGAACTCAGCACACTTCCAACAAGGAACTCGGCATACTTTCAGTTCGGCCATACTCCCGAACTCGGCATACTTCAAGTTCAGCATACTTTGGACTCGGCACACTTCCAATTTGGCATATTTCAAATTTGGCACACATCTAATAGGCATACTTCTAGTAGAGAATCAGAGGACTTCTCATATACAGAGATTGTACCCCTTCTTGATTGATACATACTACTTGTAACCGATACTTTGAATTTTGAATATATACAATTCAAGTTTTTCGCGCTTACACATAGTATTTAATATTTCAAATTTTTAAGAACTTAGTAAACTACAATAGTAATTGAATTACAATTTTAAAGTCACCACGGATCAAAATTTTTAGACCTTTGAGATTTCTAACTTTAGATGTAGCAACATACAATTGACCTTTAAAGACCAAAATCACAATCTTAGTTCGAACATTGATTTTTTCTTCCAAATACTATCGAATTAAGTGTGTAATCAATAAAAGATGAGAACTAATAATTCGAGAATATAATCTTAATGTTACTAAGCCTACTTCACGTCAATTAAGTTGGAGAGTGTTCTTGGATAGTATCCGATGAATCCACGAATAACGCATCTTTGTCTCCGTAGTCCTCAATATGCACATCAACAATCTTAAATATTAGGCCGCATAGCTATGCCATATATTAATTTCAAACTTATGAACTTTGGGGTTGCATGCAATAAAAAGTATATATTTTAAATATACTAAGGGTACATTATATATGTATATAAGGTACTTTCAATATAAAAATAATGTATTTTTAATATATTAAAAATGTATTTGATATTCATGATCCATACAATTATGTGGACCATGTTCACACAATAATTTGTCAGTAGAAATTAAAATTTAAATAAATATAATAAATAAATAAATATAATAAATAAATAAATAAATATAATATATATATATATATATATATATATATATATATATATATATATATATATATATATATTAGAAACTGCCAGTGGAAATTATTATCATTATTATTATTGCAATTATTATTATTATTGTTATTGATATTATAATTAATAATATTATTATGGTCTTGTGAAAATTAAATGTTGATTATCACCATTTAATTTTCACAAGACCATATGACTTTATTATATATAGGATTTGAGGTAAAAGGACCACGTCGTTTAAGTTTTACCTAAAAGGTTATTTCAAATTTGTTGACCAATGTATGAGTAGATTTATAAAGTTAGATTTGGCTAAACAGATAAATTAATGTTTGGTAAATATATTTTTGGACTTACCTTATTCATTTTAATAAATTAAACATGAAAAAGCTAATTGTAAATTTTTTTTTTTTTTTTTGGGTACCAGCTAATTGTATTTTCTTTTTAAATGTCTAATTTATCCATTTAATAATTGTTGGTTATTGTGGTTTTTTATAGTTATTCAATTTTTATTTAAATTTACATTCTTAATATCGAATTATTTTTATTTGATAAAAACAAAAAAAAAATTGTTAAAAGTAATAAATAACTACAATAGCTAAAATAACAACAATTATTATTATTAAAATAAACTTATTTAAAATTTATACTTAAAATTAAAAATAATTTAAGAATAATTCAATAAATAAAAAAACATATTGGTATCTTTTAAAGTCATTTTACAGGTTACTCGCTCTACATAAATAACTAATTTATCAAAATACTTTCTCACAAATAACTAATACTATTAATTAATTTGTCAAAATAAATAATATGATCAACTATTCATTCTCAGCTATCAATTAATAATTATTAATAATTAATTATTGAACAACCCGATATCTGCTTTTGTATTTCAAAAATTTGAAATTACTTGCATATTTTCATAAAGTATTTCACATGATATTGTTGTTAGACAAAAAGGCAAATAAGGACAAAAAGAACCAGGTATGCATAGATGATAGTTGTAACTTGTAAATAAAAGTCAAAAAGTAAAGATGATTATAAAAATGCAGTTTTATTTTAAACTTTGAAGATTATAATATTATATATTTGCTAGTTAGGGATCATCAGTCATAAAAGAAGAGATTGATTTTTATTTTTATTTTCTAAATAAGTTTTCATTATTGTACCTGCATTTATTGTCTTTATGGTGCTGCATCTTGCATACTTGATGCTTTACCAAATATATAAAGGAATATTAAATAAGATATACGACATTTTTACATACAATACTATACAATTTCGCGACTCATAATTTATATCCACAAATAGTCTAAGGACGAGATCCTATAGATTTAGAATTAATTCAATAAAATTGGAATCATGCGCCTTATTAAAAAAAAAAATACTATACAATTTCTCTATTTTTGTTTTTCTTTATATTGCCGCTTCTAATGAGGTAAAATATAAATTATTCTTCTATACTTAATTGTGATAAGTTTTATGGATAAAGTACAAATAAGTCACTGAACTAGTTGAGAAACATCAATTAAGCCATCAAACTCGAATAACCCTCAAAATAAGCTACTAAACTTAGAAAAAACAACAATTAACATTTTTAACAGATTAACTCTTTTTGTTGGCTGGATTTCCAAATGTTTATTATTATTATTATTATTATTATTATTATTATTATTATTATTATTATTATTATAATCTACATCGATAGTAATATATTTTAAATTAATTATAACTAAAATAGTTTTAACTGGTCGAATGTCAAGATCTAATTTATTTATTTATTATTATTTTTTCATTGAATCTTTTGTATAAAAAAAAGGAGAAAATATACAACAGATATTAATTATTAATAACATTACAGTTAAAATAATATGGGACGAAAAAGAAAAAGAAAAATGATTAAAAATAATTATTATTGAAAAAAAAAAAAAAAAAAAAAAAAAAAAAAAGCAACTCTCCAAAAAGCCACCAATAAAGCAAACACAGATAGAAGCGCTTTCCGTAAATAAAGCCAAAGCTCCAAAGCTCCAAAGCAAAGCTAAGCTGTGCTCCTCTACTCTACTGTGTTTTAGTGTCAACAAAATTCCCAAATCGAAGAAGAAAAGCAGATCAACAAAGCTGCATACTTGGCCATTAATGGCGCTCTCCATACCTCTTCTAGTCTTACTCATCTCCTTTCACCTCATCGCCTTCGTTCTCGCCGTTGGTGCCGAGCGCCGCCGTAGCACAGTAAACCCATTTCTCCTTTCCTCCTTCTCTGCTTCACTTTTCTTCTATTTTGCTTTCAATCCACTCTGTGCATTTCATATGCTACAACTCTGTTGTCTTGTCGGTAATAATAATTTATTAATTTAATTTTTTTGTTTGGGTGTGAAAGGCGAAAGTTGTGCCAGATGAGTACGATGAGAGGACGTACTGCGTGTACGGAACGGACGCGTCGACGGCGTACGGATTGTCGGCGTTTGGGCTGCTTCTCATTAGCCAAACTGTGTTATACTGCGTTACCAAGTGCCTGTGTTGCGGGAGAGGGATGATGGGTGGAAAATCTACCACTTGTGCTATTTTCTTCTTCATCTTCTCTTTGTAAGTTCTAAAATTTTCTTTTTCCCCCAATTCTTCATTTCATTTATATTTCAACACCGTTCTTGCTCTGGGTATAGTGGCTGGTGGGATTAAATGATGTGATTGTTGGAAAATATGGGTCTCTTCCATTTCATGTGTTCTTGCAAATGGGGGTTAGATATAGCAATATTGGATGTTTATGTTTATAATTGCTGAAATTCTCAAAATGTGAAAGAATAAAAGTTAGTGTGAGTATTGGCATTTGGCAGAGAGTAATTCTTGTTTGAGTAATTTATGTTGTTTTTCACTGGTTATATAGTATATGGGCATTAAGACGTTTGAAACTATGGCTATTACTTGTTGAGCAGAAAAACCTGCTGTTCTTGTATTTGCTTTTACACAGGATGCTGCCATTGAAAACAGTTGCTTCGTTTTCTCTTCTTGAAACACTTGGAAATATTTGGAGACATGTTTCCAGGAATGGGGGCTTTGGTTCTTTCCCTGATAAAGGCTGATAAGTGGGGTTCACTTAATTTAGGTGTTGTATTACTTGCATACCATTAATGTGGTGCCATGATGTGCTTTAACGTTTTATAATCATTCGTTTGTGTTTAGTTTTAATCAAGTATACAGAGTTAACATGGCACTTGGACCCCCTGACAAAATTGTTCACGTTTTGGTGGGGGGAAGAGATCTTGTTTTTCTCGCAGTTAGACAAAAGCATATCAGTTCGTTTTGAACTTAAATTATAGTTAGTTGTTGCAATTAGCCATTTACAAAGGTGCTAAAGAACATTCTGATATGTTTATGCCTTTATGGTGCTTACTGTGATTTTTTCACACTCTTAACAAAGTTTGAGGAAACTTCTTCGGGGTTCTTGGTTTGGTATCTGTTGAGTTTTGTTATAGGTGTTTTATCCTTTTTGTTATTGGGGTAGAGTTCTCTTGGTTGGCCCCACAGAGGGAGTGGGGAGGGGCGGGGGATGGGGGTGTGTTCCTACAGGCTACAGTAAAATCTATACTTTGTTGCCCTTTCTTATTTTCGTGTTATCTGAACCTTTTATGGATATTCTAGGCTCTAGCTCTGGGCCACAGATCCACTTTCTTGAACCATTCATGAGAAAGGAGGGAGAATGGGAGATTATATGTAATCCCCCAATCACTCGACTAATTTGTAGAATTCACATATCCACCTCTCTCATCATTTGGGACATCAATCGATTCAATCCCTGGTACACAATGTCTAGAGTTCTAATAAATTTAATAGTTCCCCCTTATAGCGCATTCTTTCCAACTTGGCTTTTTGCTTAGGCATAAAAAATCTCAATAAGTTGTCACTTGTCCACTTGTATGATCTGATGTTGCAATATGTGGACTCAATCAAATCTTCCTACTTCTACTTGATTTCTCATCATGTAAGGCGATTGATAGTGTACAAATTAAGAAAGTTTCAAAAAGGAATGCCCATCCCCATTTGTTTTATTGCTACTATAGTTACTCACCTTTTTTGAGAACGGTAACTGATCGATTTAATTGTGGTAATTGTATTACTTTATATTAGGTTGTTGCCATTGCTTTTAGGTCCTAAATCTGACAAAAAAACAGAGCTTCCCTCAGTTCAATTTATTTTGAAAATCACTAGATATTTGATATGTAACCTACTTTACAGTAGACCTAGAATGAGTATAGCTTTGTCTTTTTTTTTTTTTTTTGGTCAGACCATGAGGTGTCCTGAGCAGACCCTAACTGTAGGAGGCACCTTTAAGCCCGTACCATACTTAGACTAATCCCCATTCGCACCGGGCCGACCCAATTAAGCGGCAAGGTGCTGGCCAAATTGGTTTTTTCATACTAGAGGGGGTTCGAACTCCCGATTTCTCTTAAGGGATGAGAGTGCACGGCCACTCACGCTAACCAAGCTGGTTATCTTTTTTTTTCTTCCATTTTTGTATTCAATTTTCTTCAGTCTTGAGTGGAGAAGGAGAGTTGGAGCTGTTTGGTAGGCAGGCTTATGATGTTTCCTTTTTGCTAGAAATTTGCGTATTTCTTGACATCGTTGTTAGTGTGCTAATTTGACATGAATATAAGTGTGCAACTCAGACTAAGCCAATACACCGAACACATGGATAGTAACCGTAATCTAAATGACAATACAGGGTGAGCTTTTTGGGGGCAGAGGCTTGCTTATTGGCAGGATCAGCGAGGAATGCATACCACACAAAATACCGGGGATTTTTCCGTGTTGACCACTTGTCATGTGCCACGCTTCGTAAAGGTGTGTTTGCTGCGGGAGCAGCACTCACGCTACTCTCAATGATTGCCTCCATTTTCTACTACTGGTCCCATTCCAAGGCGGACACAGGTGGGTGGCAAAAGCACGAGAACGAAGGACTTGGAATGACCATGTCCAGTTTCCCCGAATCTGCTGAGAGAAAGGGTTGATCTGATCAGTCTAAAACGAATTTGGGTCATTTTGGATTGGATAGGTAGTGTGTTTTTCAGGACTGTGTGAAGAACTTATCTAGAGATTGTGGTTGCTACATATATGATATACCTATATGGCTCCAGTAATCTATCTATATATGTACAAAAGAAATATGTATTATTTATAATTCTGTATTTGGTAATGGGGTTCCTATGCCATTTCACTCTGTTTTTGCAGATTCCATGCATATATGCAGCACACTATCTGCGTGTTGTAACAACCTTAAAAGAACATGCCAAATCTGTTCTTCACCTTCCACCCTTTTCCTTCTTAAATTCACACCCTTTTCATAGCCCTCCATGCAAAATTCTTTCATATCTAAGTTCCATAATTTCTTCTAGTCCGATCCGGGGGCGTTATCAGGTCAGTTAGTTAACAACTAAAGCCCACAAATACTATTTACTTTAGTTGATTTCTATCGGTGATAAAGGTAAAAAACAATTATTAGGTTTTCTGATCGATAATGTAACCCCCGACCATTTGCTCACCCCAATATAAAAGGTGGATGGCCTGGTCAAAATTATTGGCTGCCTTTGTTGGGTGGTGGGGAATTATTTATAACCTTAGTTGGGTCACCTTGCATAGGTTTCCTAGCATTTGGGGGTACGGTGAGAAAGAGACAATATGAGATCGTATCGAATACTCTACAAACTAATAATGTTTTGTATTGTATGATGTTAGGTGTAGGGATACTGCCAGTCCCTTATGCACTTTTAGAAGAAGGCTGACTATGTCTAATGATTCTGGGGATGATCGAGTTGATGCATTTCTGCAAAAGTAGTCTATTGTAGCAATATGAGATTGCTACTAACGCCAAAATCATTAGACATAGTGAGTCTCCCTCGGAGAGTGCATAAGGGATAGACAGTATCTCTACACCTAACAACATACAATAATACAACGAGGTGCAAGCTCAGCTCTCTCACCGCCGTCATTTTTTTTTTCAGTGTTTTTGTAACCAATATAACCAACCGAAATCGAAGATTAGTTATTTGGACGATTATAGTATTTACTTTAGCTGATTTCGATCAGTGATAAAGGTAAAAACAATTATTAAATTTTTTGTTCGATAATGTAACCGCGGACCGTTTACTCACCCCAATATTAAAGGTGGTCAAAATTATTGGCTGCCTTTGTTGGATGGTGGGGAATTGATTATGACCTTAGTTCTGTCACCTTGCATAGGTTTCCTAGCTTTCGGGGGTACAGTGAGAAAGATTTTGATGACTCCCCCCGTCCCCCAATCCTGAAAGAGGCAATATAATATGAGATCGTATCGAATACTCTACAAACTAATCTGCAGAAATTGTTCCCAGATGCAAATGTTCACCTGGACAGGTTGAAACTTTGGCCCGAAAAGGCCCTTGTTCTGCTAGTGGCATTGGTGATACTATCAACAACCTAGGTTTGTTGATTTATGTTTGTGCTGATGAGGTGTTGGTTTCTCTGGTTTTGGTTTGCTGCATCTTCTGGATTGGAGCTGTGGATGGTGTTGGGTTTCATGAGAGTAGAGAGGTGTTGGGATCTTTAGGTGGGGTTCTGAGAGCATTGAGTTTGAGATAGGACCCAAAAACTGAACAAACTCAATGCTCTCATAACTCCACCCAAAGATCCCCACACCTCTCCACTCTCACGAAACCCAACACCATCCATAGCCCCAATCCAGAAAATGCAGCAAACCAAAACCAGAAAAACCAACACCCCACCAGCAGAAATATAAGTCAACAAACCTAAATTCCACAGCTAGGTTGTGATAGTATCACCAATGCCACTAAACAAGGGCCTTTTTGGGCCGAAGTTTCAACCTGCCCAGGTGAACATTTGCATCTGAGAACCATTTCTCCAGATTGTCACCTTCTGGTATGAGGAATTTAACTGCCACCAAGAAGAGTTCAAGGTACATGAATGTTGATATGAGCAGCCTTCCTTAGTTCAGAAGTGCCAGTTCTCCTGCATGTAGAGGATATGTAATGTTCATTCCTGGAGATGAGTCTATGCATTTCTGCAGGCAGTATCCCTACACCTAACAACATGAGGTGCAAGCTCTCTAGCTCTCTCACCGCCGTCATTTTTTTTTTTTTTTTTTTTCCGCAATGGAAGTATATGCAACCTAAGGAAGAAGAACAAACATTGTTTTTTTCGCATCTTCTTCTAGTTCTCAGCTTTGGAATTTTATTTAATAAAAAATTAATTTATTTTATATGTATACACGTATGTACTAATAATGTAAACTACATACGCGAATAATCCATCTAAATGTGAAATTGCCAGACAAGGAATCTCCGCTAAACTCTTTATTTTGAGTTGGTCAATTAGATGACATGTGTCTTTGGTGGTGACGTAGTACGTGTGCAAAGAATGGCGAAAGAATTAATTGATTTATTCTTCCAAAAGGTTGAACCTCAATCCTAAGGGCCCCCACACTTCGATCTGACAGAGCATTTGCAAGGATGTAAATCATGGTAATTCAACTGAACATGAACCACAGAGGCTAGAATTAATTGAAACTTTCCTTATGAAAAGCAATAATGATTTCATAAAAAAATAGAGTAATAACATAACACAATTGCTGGTATAATTTAATCTCTAGCTTTCAATTTCAACCAATCTGATCATAGAATTGTACTTTATAGAATTAATCATCATTTCGGTCCCTCAATTGTTTCCCAACTATCAATGTAGTCCCTAGTTTTCAACTTCAACCAGTTTGATCATCGAATTGTAGTTCCTAATTAATTTTCAATTTCAATGAATTTGATTCTCAAATTGTCCTGAAAGCTGTCAAAACAGACTCAACCCAACGAGTTGGACCCATTTAGACGGACTATGTTGGAGAATTTCTAACCCTGCCGGTATAACCCATACCCCACCCCCACCCCAACCCCAACCCCAACCCCAACCCCAACCCCAATTTTTAATTAAGTATTGTATTACTATTTTAAAATATTATTGATTATTGATATAACAAGAATTAAACCATTGACCTTTCACTTAATTCAACACTATTAATGACACTTGTTATACATTTTTATATAAATATAGATTTATTTAGATCATTCACAAGAATTATATATAAAATTTATTTATATTACATTTATTACAAATATTAATTAATACAATTAATTGTATCTTTATATACATATATATTAATATATAATTTATTTATTATATAAAGTTATAAACTATATATTTTATAAACTTTATAACTTAATACTATTATAATTAAAAAAATAAAAATATTACATGTAAAATATATTAGTATTAAATATAAAGTAAATAAATTATAATTATATATTAATACTATTACAATTACTAAATAAAGTACATCTTTTGTTCAAAAAATTTAATGTGTTTTAATAAAAATAGTGTTAATTGTTAAGTTAGAGGTTGAGGTTTCGATTTCTAAGCTACACAAAAACTTGAAAACTTATATATATATATATATAGTGAAAGGTTCTCATGCAGTTGAATGCTTCCCATGCGGATGTGCGGTGGATTAATGTGCGTGAGATTTGTATTCAATGTGCGTGAGTGTTGTGCTTAATATGCCTGAGATTTGTACTTAATGTGCGTGAATGTGTAAAATGCAGCAAAAAACATTGATGTCAGCTTCTTCCCCATCCCCAGTAGCCATTTCCCCCTCCCTGATGATGATGATGCGAAGGCGAGCTATGGTGGTTAAAAACTATGGGAATAATACAACAGAAATCCACACTTAGCTGCTGTGCAAATTTTACTGTGCGTGCGTCATTTATATAAACATTCAACTGTACTGAAGGTAGCTGATAATCCAGAATCCATGGCCAAATTGAAGGAAGAAGTAACAAGAAGCTTGGGCGTTAATGTGCGTGAGTTTCTGTTCTGCTTCCTTCTGAGCTCGTAATTCTGAAATACGCACGCACATTAAGCACAAATCTCACGCACATTAAACACAATACTCAGGCACATTAAGTACAAAACTCACGCATATTAACATGACGCACATTAAGTACAAATCTCACGCATATTAATCCACCGCACATCCGCACGGGAAGCAACAAATGCACCTGATCCTTCCCTATATATATATATATATATATATATATATATATATATATATATATATATATATATATAGCCCCAGTTAAGGTTATATCCTTGATTTATGTCCCTCTTTTTGTATGCAAATAAATATGTACATTCTATTTTAAATGTTGTACATTTCAATGTTATTAGACAAAACTACCCTTACACCGTAAGTTTTTAATTCTAACATTGATAACACATCATTATTACCATACACCTATATCTATCATATCTTTTTCTTATTTTTTAATTATCATTTTATTAAAATCATTATATATTAATTTAATGCTTAATTATATTTTAGTTAAATTTCTATGAATGATATATTATATATGTGTGTGTACAAAATAGTGAAATACATATATTATTTGTGTATATATAATTTAAATTATAATTTTTAATTATTTATATTTATCAATATTTTAATATTGGGCATGAATTTTCGCGCATCGCGTACAAAATGCTAAGTATATGTATATATATATAGGGTAAGGTTCAAGTGAGAACACTACTCCCCATGAGGACTGTGGACATATCTCAACCTTTGATTAAATGGGATCAACGGCTGTTAATGAATATGATGGGTGAGAATTTAAGAGTAAAAGTGTAAAACAGGTGGTGATGTGGCATTGTAATTAAGGAGAGAGGGGCATCTATGTAATTTGGTGTGCATCGTGCAGTCGTGAATAAAAGGAATGGCCAAAATTTTCGCCGCCATTACTTAAGCATTTGAGTCGAACAGGGTAAGAGAATACAAGGCGAAACCTTTTATCTTCGAACATGTTACAACCATACGAAGACATGGCGGGCAAAAGGCGAAGAAGCACGCAAGGCACCGGCGAAAACATCGGTAGCAGAGGTATGTACTAAAGTCTGGATTTTTTGTTATGAGGGAATAGGTCGATGTTGAGATGATATGCCCCTCTGTTAAAGTAGTGTTATGCCTCATGAATATTAACTGGGTATGGGGTTTAATGGTGGTGTCGCCGGAATAGATGACCGGAAATCGTTGATGGCCGGAGTAGGGTTTACGGCAGCACCGAGTTGAGGGAAATATGAAAGTTTAGATGAAATTTGAGTGTGCATATGTGAAGAAGTGTTTGTGCATTGAGCTGGGTTGAAGAGAATGCACATGATACGCAACACTGAATGTATTTTTCTGGATAGATTTATGAGCATCTACCAATTGGCATAACTATTCTTACGTGTGCATTTTCATAAATGTTTGTGTTCTCATTTAGGCTATTATGGTTTTCTTGTGTGCATTTGGTTAATGTTGAATATAATGGGTGGGAGGGGAATCAGTGACCATTCCATGAGCACATTATCACTATTGCATAAAGAATAAGCAAGTGCACACTGACTTGAATACTAACTCTCATGTATGCAATCTCCTAATGCAGCTAAAGAATACAAAACATCACATCCTCCACTAGGCGAGATCCTTGGGTCTACACCAGATGATGACACTTCCACCAGGTGTTTCAACGTACAATTGTATGCAATTTCGTAGGTGCTTAATTTCTGAAAATGGAGGAGATAATGATGTGTGAAGCTCAAAGTTGAGAGATAGGCTGGAAATAGGGGTTAATTTTGAGGGTTTATAACTGTGTTGTTAATAAATGTTAAAACAACGACATAGTAGGGACCATAGGTAAAAGCACTTGAACTGAAAAAAATGGTGAGAATCTCTGCTTTGTGCATGCAGAGATCTGGGTTCAGTGCATTTCTATTGTTTTTAATTGTGCATGAATTGGTGAATTATCTGGCTTGTTTGTTACACTTATATATTATGCAATTGGGCACGAATAAATCGTGCACCAGTTTGATTGTTTCTACTTTAGTTTGATTGCACTTTGTGAGATGAGTAGTCAAAGACTATAGTAGATGTCAGCTTGCTTTCTTGATCATTTTTTCTGTTGCAAATTATATAGATTAATGAAGGCGGCCTTTGTACGAGCCCTTTTTGAATCATAACAATTGTTCTCTATGATTACTAAATGAAAAATTAAAACTACTGGTGTTTCTCATTGCCTTGATGATGAATAATGGTATAACAATTGCATTCTCCACGTAGAAGTTTAATGTGACATTGAGAATATGGTTTCGTCTTTCCAGCTCCAAGAAGCAAGAGGACCAGGGCCATGGCATCTCCAAATGTTTCGGCTCCCAAGCGAGAAACAGACCCCAAGAAAAAGATTGTCATAACTGAATGGGCCTTGTTTCTGTATTTGGCAGTGAAGTTGATAAATTCTATGACTGCCTTCTTGAGGAATAGAGTGACCGGAATCAGTTTAATAGACAGATTTGATGCTTCAAGTTGCTTTGTTCATAGACGAGACTTCTCCACTGAGGGTTACATAGATAGAAAGAATGTAACAAGCATCATGAGCGTAACCTCTTAAGATTTTGAGACAATGAACTATATTAAATTATTGGTTTAAAAATTTATGTTTTGTATTTCATGTTTTATTTTTTATTTTGTTCATTTTTTGCATGGTGGATTGAATTAAATTATTAATTTGGACGCTCATGACATACAACCTCTTTTCGTGGTTATGAGTAGGACTAATTTTTTGAATTATTATTTGAAAATTAGTCCGTGAAAATTTATTAAACACATTAATAATATATATATGTGCAGCTAGTTGTTGTGTTGGTTAGTCCTGATTACTAGTACTTAGCATATACTATCATTCGTGCATGAGAAATACGGAATTTCACTTAAGCACATGGATTTTTTCTTCACAGATTATGATTTGTGCATGTGTATGTAATTTCTGGGTGTGTTTGTGATATTTTTAAAGGTGCATTCTGGTGGCCACAATGCTCAACAAGCTATGGTGCATTTGTGATTGAACTATTAGTGCATGTGCTAATCAATCGTGACCATCGTTTAACTGTATGTGCATTTGAGTGCATGGCCAACATATGTACATGTATTCTAATTCACTATGTAAAACAAATCACAAAACCCAGTAAAACAAATCACAAAACACAGTAAAAATAAGGTGAGCAGAGTAATGCAGAAACTGGATGTATAGAATATTGATACCAAAAATTAAATTTAAACGCCATGTGCAAAACATTTAAATTGTATGGCGTAGTGATACATACCTATTACAATTTTATAAAACTAACAATTTATTCCACAAGCATATTTGGGTAGTTACGACTATCATGATGGCCAAGACTTCTCAACCTGACACCATCTTCACACATCGGCAACCAATACTTTGTCCCCCCGTGAGAAACGTCCATAACACAACCTTGGATATTCTCAGAATGTCCTACACGCTAAAAAAAAAACCGTAGAGAGATAAAATAAAAATGGCTGAACAGTAATGCACAAATATAATGATCATCAATGCACAAGTAAATCCTTGATAAAAAAAAAAAAAAAAAAAAAAAAAAAAAAAAAAAAAAAAAAAAAAGAGGCAGAAATCCTTGATAAAACAAAAAAAAAAAACAACAGTCAAATCAATAAATAAATAAATAAAAGAGGTAAAGAATATAAATGGTTCCACGTTGAATCACCAAGTAAATCAAACCTATCCTTAATTAGTTAATTACCATATTTAAGTCAGTTAAAAACATACAGATCAGTTAAAAAAAAAAAAGAATTAAACGAAAAAAGAAAAAAAAATGCAAAGACAATAAAGCCCCTAAACTAAAGACACGGCAATAATGAAAAAAATTCTCCCAAAAATAAACCAAAAAACAAGAGCCATAGATCAAACTAAAATCAAAGGTGAGAATCCAACCACAAACCTCATGTAGAAACATGACCTCATTTGATCCTCTACCTATATATATATATATATATACATTTAAAATTTTTCAAAATAATAATAATAAACAGGATGACGGGCTGCCCGTCCAACCACGGGTTGGGTCTACATTAACAGTTGGGAAAGTAATTGAGAGATAAAAATGTTGAATACTGAACGAATAAAGTAATAAATAACATAATTACAAATATCATCATTTCTTGAAACCTCATATATAATACTTTGAAGCAATATTTGGAGTGTTTTTTTTTTTTTTTTTTGGTTGTTTTATATACCAGAGACATGATAGAATGTGTCACATAAATAAATTGTAAGATAAAATGTTAATTTATTGCTTTATTTACATCATGGCTCTTTATATAGAGCTACAATATAATAGAAAACCTAAAATTGTTGTCATGTTTGAATATTATCATTAGCGTTAATTGTAGTGGAGGTCCTTATCTTCGGTGGCAATTTTAAATTTAATTTCAAACTATCGTTTTTACCATTTAATTTTTGGGTAGCATTGTTAAGACAAATTTTACCGTGAACCATAGTCCATGTAGCAACATGAACCATGGAGTAAGTATCATTCTAATTACACTTCAGTTTCAGTTTCATTTGACAATATTGTTTTGCTTTCTAGTTTCATTTTCACACACACTAATTTTATTATAACAATAGCAAAGTATCATTTTAATTCTACTACAGTTTAATTCTCCATCTCCAACCAAACGTCCTGTGAATTCTAGTTTCAATTTTCACACACTAGTATCAATTGGCAATATATATTATTTAATGATTTTTATTTTTTAGTTTCATTTTCTGGAGAAACTAGCTAGTTTCATTATATCAACACTAAAGTATCATTTTAATTCTATTACAATTTCATTTGATGATCATGATCCATACAGCGCGCTTATGGACTATGGTCGACTATATAACAACTGCATTATTAATTAGTGATTCAGTCAAGCACCTTGTTCAAATGACATCTCTGTGGCTCCTTTTGAGAGAAGGTCACAAGATCATACTCTGGTGGTGGGTATTGACTCTTTGGCTGCATTAGTTAGAGAAAGTATATAACAGATACTACTTTGTAATAGAGTCAATAGTAATTCACAATATAATAATTGAGATTATAGTCCCTTGCAGGCAAGTAGTCGTTAGAATTAACAATAAGAGCAGCATCGATCTATTCCAACCCTTTTGTTTTCACATTATATATATTCACAAATAAAATTACATTATTTCCAAATTACAACATCGATCATCATATCGTACTGCACACAATCTTAGTATATATATATATATAGGAAGTAGTGATTAATTAGTGTGATGATATGTATTGGATGAGATTAGTATCTCTTCCTTTCCTTGATAGCAGGCCTCCTTGGAATCTTGTCAAGAACTTGTGTATCAAATCTGTCATACAATTTCTTCATGTCTTGATTCCCCTTACTTGCCAGATAATCCACCTCATTCTGATACCTTTCATACATTGCCGGCAACGTCGCCAAACACACAAAACCTATAATTTTCTTCCCATTAATCTTTCACATTTAATAAGTAATTAAATTATCAAATAAGAGGTCATGGGTTTGATCCCCAGTGGAGGCGGTATTAACTCTTTGTATTTCAGTAGATTGAGAAAGTAGTTATGAACAGATATTACATTGTAACAGAGTTAGTAGTACTAAAAAATTATCTTTTTATATTAGTCTGATTATCGAGAACTTACCAATATATAAAAGATTCAAGGAGCTGAAATAATTTCCAATTACTGAGAGTATCCACAGCACAGTGATCGCCTGTATGTCCCGAGACATGAAATACAATCAACTCGTACTATCTTAGCAAATACAATACTATGAAACAATAATCGAGAATTAAAATGAACAAATGTATATATAATACGTACCAGGAAAAAGGTTTTTATATTTTGTCCAGAAGAAATTTCGTAGAATTTCCATAAGAAATAATTCAGTCTCCCTAATAGCCATCTGATAGTTGATTCTGGTACGGTAAATGCTCGATAATTAGGTGGATTCCTGAAGATTAAATACGACATATAGAACACAATTCAAGTTGTCAGATTCAAAAAGAAAATCATAAAAAGAATATATTTTGCTTGAAATATAATGCAAATCAAATTGTCATTTTAACAATATTTTCAAGATTTCATGAAGCTTAGTGCTATCAATGTCAATAGTAACGGGTTGTTGAGCATATATAATATATAAACATAAATGTGCAATTCGTCCTTGGGTATAGCTTGGTGGATGAAAGACTGAGTTTGGGATAATATTCACCCAATACTATTCAACGAGTACCTGTGGTCAGTGCATCTAAAAACTCATATCACTGCACTACCAAGACACATATCTCGCTATTTATCTCTTCTCACAAGTTTTTAGGGTAGGGGACGTGAGGGCCTCTTAGATTAGGGTTCAAACTTATAAATGTACAATTCAACTACTAACTTAGATTTTTAGTTGAGATAGAGCAACTCTAATTTGGTATCAGATCAGGGACAACCCCATGCTAAAGGTCATGACCTGGGTTCAAATCTCCGCATGGAATCTATTGGTGCATGTGTTGCTTAGAGCCTCAACCTCGAAAAAGTAATGTGCTACTATTGGGTTTCTATAGTTTATGGAGGATAATATGATATATAGACATATATTGTTGAGGCTAATAAGTACCAATCAACAAAAGCAGAGCCGGTAGACCAGAGGAAAAGGATCGCCATTGCTAAGATTGAAATGTGGCACAAAAGGCTAACAAAAGTGTACTCCATCACTTCAAAAAGGAACCATATGAATGTGAACCCAACCAGAATTGCCGCAGATAAGTTCTTGTTCCTCCACAACAATATATCAGCAACTGCATCGGAAAACAAACAACAAATTAAAGATTCAAACATTTGTATAAGTTATTGTATGTTAGGATCAAACGCTTACGGGTACTGTTATGTTAGCTTATCAGTCAATTTTGACTTATTTAACCATTATTAATTATTTGACTTGGTTAAACATTCAATATAAATATTTGATTAATTAGCTTTTTGTAACAATTTATTGCTCCAAAATGCTAAAATTCAAAAAGCGGCTCAAAACAGATATTTGATAAGCTTTTTGAGAAAATTATTTTGTATGTAATCACATATATTAGCTCTCCTTAACAACTAATTTATCACAACACTTTATACAATCAACTAATGGTATCAACTACTCAAACTCACTAACTCAATCAGCTAATAGTTAACAGAGAACAGTTATTTATCAAACACCTCAATATATGTAGCAAATACACAACTTTATTTCATTATAGATCGTCATTATATTTTTTAGTGTCAAAGTGCTGGACTTGACTTTTCACTAACCTCCGCCCAACAATCCTCTAGCCACCAATCGATGGACTTTGCACCGGCCTCCGCCCAACAATTATAAATTAAAATGATATATACATAGGCAAAAAAAAAAAAAAAAAAAGAATAATGTTAAATCATACCATGTCCACCCCCAAGTCTTGCATGCATATGCATGGGTCTGCTACCGCCGTAGTGGGGCCTTCTAGAAGCCGCCGGTGTCGGCCGCCGGTGGTGGTGGTCCTCGGAATCAGACGACGAAGAATAGATCGGCATGGATGGCTATGAAGAACACAAATAAAGTCAGGTCAGATACGATGTCGTATTACTATACGTTGTTATTTGGTATTACTGTGTTAATTTGGCGATGGATGATGGAGAAGTGGAGTTGAAACAGTGGATTTATAGGATGATGTGTGTAAATTCTATGCTTCAGAGCTAAGAATTAAAACTTGTAACAATGAAGAAAAGAATGGCTTTGGCATGGTCCCCAAGGTTTGCCTCAACTCACATGTCCCTATATCTCTATTTTATATTTATTGATTATTATATATTATTAATAATTACAATGTTGTTAACCTCTAAATTAAAGTTTAGCATCTTCATGATTTTCAAGTAAATTTCCATTGAATATAACAACAAAACTATATTAATTAACTTGTAAAATAAAATAATATTACTAAGGATTGCATATTCTTTCTTCTTCTTTATGCAGTTAGCTTATAAAGTTTGTCAATGTAGATTTGGGTGCTATTTAATTAAAAAAAAATTTACAAAATCAACACTTAGGTAGGCGGTTGAGCCTATATATTATCATTATAGTGCTTCTGAAAATATGAATATTCCAATCTTAAGTCTGTATATCTCCTAGTTGTGGACTCCAATAGGAATGGCCACATACAAGAAATCAACCCCTAAAACTAGTTTTAATATCCATTTTTGCTTACCATAAACTTAATGTCCTAATTAACTCACATCACTCAATACAGTTATACTATTGTAAATTGTAGTGCCGCTTGTTGGTCTTACAGATGGAAATTTACCCCGTCTTCAACAGAGAATGTGTAATCCCCTGTCGGGGAAGAGAACGGGGATACCCCTCCTCGCTCCTGTCGTGTCGTCTCCGAATAATAATAATAATAATAATAATAATTATTATTATTTTATATATATATATATATATATATATATATATATATATATATATATATATATATACACACACACACACACTTAGGTATTTTTAATTTTTTAAATTTAAATTGTACTAATTTAACAGTTTGACTAGGAGTTGACTGGGACGGAGAATCCCCGTCCTTGCCTAATTTCCGGCAGGAGACGGGTTTCAATTCTCCGTCAGGGATAGGGACGGAGATGGGAACAGGATCGGGCTTGCTGGGACAGGGACGGGGAGTATACTCCCTACCCCGCCCCTCCCATTACCATCCCTAGTTGGTCCCAATACACTTATAATGAGATGAAATTTTGAAAGGTGAATAGGATTTATAATTTTTTTTGTTGAATTTTAATTGTTGTTAGGTAAATTATAATATAATTAAGGTCTAAAGTTGATATATTCTTTAGACAAATACTCCGTAATAAATAAGAGTCGAATAGGTCATCGAATTGCACACCAAATTGGAATTGAATCATCGAACTTGAAAAGTTGTAATTGAGTTCCTGAACAATGCAAATTCATACAATTGAACCTACAATGACTTGTTTACCTGGTTAATGGTTATAACTGATGTAGCAGTTACCCATTTAAAAAATATATATATTTTTAAATTTACTTTAATTATTTTAAATAACATAAACTTTACAAAAAAAAAAAAAAAAAAAAAAAATCCACCCCTCCTTGACTTCGTCTCCAACCGAGAGACGACGACCATTTCTTCGTCTCCAGCCTAGCAGTTCAGCGAAGGCGGGGGGAGGGGGTGAGTTTTTTTTTTTTTTTTGTTTATTTTATTTAATATTATTAAAATAAATTTTAAAAAATAATTTTTTTTAATTCGGTAACCGCCACGTCAATTATTACGATGTAAAGTCATTTTAAGTTTAATTACACAAATTTACGTTATTCATGGACCTAATTACAAATTTTTTGAGTTCATTGGTGCAATTACAATTTGATGTGTAGTTTAATGTCCTATTTGACGCAATTACTCCCACCCCGCCCCGCCGAGTCCCCGAATACTTTTATATATATATATATATATATATATATATATATATATATATATATATATATATATATATATAAGTACTGGCAGTATGTACATATGTAATGTAGTGATAGTATATCTGTATATGTAAACTATATACAGGCAGGTGAGGCAGTATACATATATATATGTATAAATATATTAGTACTGGCAGTAAGAATATATGTAATGCACTATATAGTGGCAGTATATGTAAACTATCAATGCAGGCAGTGTACTATATATATATATATATATATATATATATATATATATATATATATATATATATATATATGAGCTAATACCATCCGCGGTCCTCTGAGTATAGGGGTTTTGCCACATTTAGTCCTAAACTTTCAAATTAACTATATGTGGTCCTTCGACTTTCAAATTTAACCATTCGTGGTCCAAGTTAACCACCCATGATCCTTCAACTATTAAATTTTAACCAACCATGGTCCTTTCAAGAGGATCACAACTGGTTATGTTTTGAAATTTGAAGGACCATGGGTGGTTAACTTGGACCACAAATGGTTAAATTTGAAAGTCGAAGGACCACAGATGGTCAATTTGAAAGTTTAGGACTAAACGTGGCAAAACCACTATACTCGAAAGACCTCAAACGGTATTAACTCATATATATATATATATATATATATATATATATATATATATATATATATATATATATATATATATATATATATATATACTAGTTTTTTACGCGCATTGCGCGATTGGGATAATGCCCAATGTTTTTTTTTTTTTTAAATAAGTACTTTAAAGTATATTAAGGCAAGATTATATTGAAATTGTTCATGCATAGATAATTGAAGGTTGAATTTGCGTATTTAAATAGGTAATTCTTCTCCCAAAGGTTGAGTCCCCAACCCCAAGGGCCCCCCACACTCTGACCCAACAGAGCATTGTGGGAAGTTGTAAATCAAGGTGACTCAATGGTTCAGCAGACAGGACCAAATGCCGGTGCGAACAAGGAATCTGCCCACTTTGGACATAATTCCCGCACTGTCGCCGCTGAGGTTCAAACCTTGGTCTCTTCCCCCAAATACTGCCCACTAAACCATTGAGCTAAGCCCGTGCGGGTTAAATAGGTAATTCTAAGTTTACAAATGCAAGATAATATAGTCAAGAATGATTATAATTGTCAATAAAATAATTGTATAGGTATGGTTGAAACCAAATACGGGACATAAGGGAGAACAAATAAAAATTAGGGCATAAAATATTAAATATATACTAATATTGTTTGAGGAGATTTCGACATTAGGATTTGTGGTTAAGTTCTATTAAGACTTTAATATTAGAATTAGATTAATGGTGTAATTATAATTTTATATTAGACGTTAATATTAGAATTAGACTAACGGTGAATTAACGGTATTTAACAGAAAAGTTAAATGGATAATCATATAATTAAGGATAAATTAGTAAAACTTTAAAAAAAATTAAAACCTGAACAATTTGAATCATTCATTTGATTTAATAATTTGGCGGTCATTTTTTCTACCCAATGTTAATAATTAAATAAATTCGTTGGTCAAATCCGCTAATATAATCCGCTAACTGCTGATTGTCAAACAAGGACATTGCAAGGTAGTTCTCACTTCAATTTGTTGTGTGATTTGAATACTCTCTTTGTCACAAAATCTCTCAAGTAGTTAATATGGTTGGCTTTATTAATTATATATTTTTTTAAAAAAAATTTTCATGGTATTAATAAAATACTTGGTAAATAAATATATAGCATTATTTTGTATTATAACTTTGATATTTAATTAGAAAAATAGTGCACAAAAAAGATAATAGACAATGTAGTGAATATAATCCATTGATGAATTTGAATGTAAAAATTTTTACATTTGAGAAAAATAAAGACAATATAACTAATGAAAATATTTCTCTTAATTAATTTATTGATAATGAATAATTTTTTTTTACTGAATTAAGACATTGTAAGGACAATGTAGCGAATATAATCAATTAATAAATTTGAATATAAAGAATTTTTATATTGTAGAAAAATAAAGACAATATAACTAATACAATTATTTCTCTTATTTAATTTATTGATAATGAATAATTTTTTTTAATAAAGGCATTGTGGACACATAATTCTAAATTAAAGAAATGCATATCTATAATTTTTTGTTGTAGCTACTAAATTATTATTTATATATAATTTAATAAGAGTAAAATAGAGTTCTAATTATGCCAACTTTGATTGGGATGAGGTTCGAACCTAAGTCTTTTTTTTTTTATTGAAATTAATGAGTAAGTTAACGGTGAACTAACGGCAATTCTTAAAATTTTAACGGAATTAGTAACGGTGTGTGGGTATTTTAGGAAATTTTAGTGTAAAATTTAAATTTTATCAATCTTTTAATCAATCTGAGCCATTCATTTGATTAAAATCTGTGACCGCCATTTTTTCTACCCATTATAGGCCTAACTCTCTTGGGCTCTTATTAGTATAGTAGATATATATATATATATATATATATATATATATATATATATATATATATATATATATATATTGTAAAATTAGTATTTTATTTTAAAACTAGAACTTAGATTTTAAATTTTTATTATTAAAAATTATAATTAGTTAACATTTTGACTAGGAGTTGACGGGGAATGGGGAATTCCCGTCCCCGCCTAATTCCCCAAGGGGACGGGGATGGGGAATATTTTCAATTCCCCGCCGGGGAAGGGGATGGGGATGGGGTCGCGGGGACGGGGACGGGGAGTATACTCCCCGCCCACGCCCCGTTGCCATCCCTACTTTTGGTATTTTATCCTCTAAATATTTTTTTCTTGTCTTACCAGAAATGCTTATCTTTTGGTCAATGTATTGACTTTTGGTAAAATGTTCTACTCTCCTATGATTGAGCACTCTTTTGAAGACTTCTCTTATGGTCTATTATGAAAATTTGTTAAGACATCTTCTATTTGTTTGTATTTTGGAAGGCTCATTTTTTAATTCATTTGGTTAAACATGCATCCTAAATTGTGTCTAAGTATTTTAACATGATTTGATTTTTTGCCTTGACAATTTTTAAAAATAAAAATCTAAAAATTGTAAATTGTGTTTGCCCCATTTAACTTAAACAAACTTTATTTATAACAAATTAACAAACAAGGCCTTAGTTCACCAAACTTGTT